ACAAACACCATACCCTCACATTAAGCTGAAATTTAAAAAAACTAAATAAATTTTAGCAAAAAATGTAGAAAAATAAAAATAAATATAAAATACTTTTTAGGGTTTTTTGTTTGTTTGTTTGTTTTTTAAGAAACAGAGTCTCACTTTATTGCTCTTGTTAGAGTGCCGTGGAGTCACAGGTCACAGCAACCTCCAGCTCCCGGACTTAGGCGATTCTCCTGCCTCAGCCTCCCAAGTGGCTGGGACTACAATAAAAAACTTTTTAAAAGAGCAGCTTAACTGCTTGCCTTGGCAGCACATATACTAAAATTGGAACGATACAGAGAACATTAGCATGGTCCCTGAGCAAGGATGACACTCAGATTTGTGAAGGGTTCCATATTTTTAGCCTCCAGTAAAAACAATAAACAGGCAAAAAAAAGAAAAAAGAGTAGCTTAAAATACAGCCCATTCATAATTGTCAGATGATTCCTACACAGTCATATTGATCCCTTTGAGCATTAAAATCTGAGTATTCCCCCGATTCTGGTTAACCCAAGGATCAAGAACCAACTGAATCCTAAACAAAGTGGCTTAGGAAAACATGATAGCCATGTTCACATGAAATTTGACCACAAAAATCCATTTTAATTTCTTTTGCAATGAGCTACTAATAATGACTGAAAAAAATCAACTTAATATTTTAGCTATAAATCATAAAAATCTGTAATGGAATTCTTACCTCTGGTATTATAGGTGTCGGTTTTTTCTTATCCAACAATTTTGGCTTTAAAATTACCTTCTCTACCTCCAACATTCCTATTGGTGTGTTTGGCTTAAACTTAATGTGGTTCTTTTCAGCTGACAGCAGATCAATTGTGTAACTTGATGGATTCAAGTGATACTGTGCACAGAGGAATATCAACAAGTCCATCATAGGTTTGCTGTAAAACAAGGGTCATGTTGATCATAAAGGCCCATGAAAAGATTGTGAAAGTTACTGTTTTTAGGAGTCTTCTTTCTAGAATGCTATTGTCTTCAATTCACAAAAGCAAAGCTATAAAGCAGTATTTGTGAAAGCAACTGAAAAATCTAATTATAAAAATCTAACTATAAAATATTTAAGCAGTCAAAAATTGTAATGGTTAATGAGTCTTGAGTAGTATTCAAGAAAGCTTGGATTCTAGTGTTAAACAAGTAGCTACCTATATGTTTTTATTTACAAAATTGTTTTCACATTACAAATTTCAAGAGGAGGAATCCTTTCCTTCCCCAAGAACAAACTTTGTGGACCATGTTGGCCAGACAGTCTCAGTCACAACAACTTCACTCTGCCTTTATAACACAAAGACAACCTGAGACAATGTGTTGGGGATCAATGTTGGCCCGCAGAGTTTTTGTAAATAAAGTTTTATTGGGACATAGCCATATCCATTTGTTTACACATTGTCTCAGGCTGCTTTTGTGTTATAAAGGCAGACTGAAGTCATTGTGACTGAGACTGTCTGGCCCACTAAGTTTAGCAGAGGCTCCTTCACAATATTATTTGGAATACAGTCCTGGTAGTCTTTAGCTGTGGATTGGTTATATTCCAGCAAAATTCTCAAGACTGTGGTATAGATGTCGTAAATTAGATATTATTTATATGTTCTAGCTACTGAAGTTACAGTACAAGTATCATGGTATACCTGATATAGATCTAATATTCTATTAGAATAGAATGAAAAGGAATTCCATTCCATTTCTATTTTCTTTTTTTTCCATTTCTATTTTCTGTTTGATGGAATAGATCAAATGCCAGCCAACTACAACATACACATCAATGTTGGCCCACAGACTGTTTTTGTAAATAAAGTTTTATTGAGACATAGCCATATCCATTTGTTTACACATTGTCTCAGGCTGCTTTTGTGTTATAAGGCAGATTGAAGTCATCATGACTGAGACTGTATAACCCACATGGCCCACAAAGCCTACTCTTTTTACTATCCGGCCCTTGATAGAAAAAGTTTATGGGCCCTTATGTTATAAAAAGTAATCAAATAAATGCATAAAAATTTTAAATACTAGTTAAATGTTTAATACTGCTGGTAATACAAGGACCTATTTCTATAGAAACTTTCATATTAAACTTGAGATACAGGGATATTTCCAATTTTTGTTCCCCCATCCACTGACTCCAATGGTTCACACAGACTTATATTTTCACTCACACCATCAACAGAGGGACACAGTCGGTCAGTCTTCCTTGTCAGTCCTTTTAAAAAGCACACTAAAAAATCTTTTATATCAAGTGCTTTCCTCAAAGGTCCGGCAGTCCTAACGTATTGGTTTATACTTAAGAATAAGAAACTAAAACGGTGTAAAAATCCTATGTTCATGGGCTTCACTTTAGGGTAAAAAGACAGCCAGCCATTTTTTCCTACTGGTAAATGTAAATATCAGCAAAAAATGATCCTCCAATTTATTTACAAGACATAAATGTGGCCACTGGCTCTCAGGAGCTTGATAGGGAGTATAGGCTAGGAATCTCACCATTCAGCATCCCTTTTTAAATTAGTACATATGTTTTCTTACGGCATATTACCCCTGTTCTTCTAAGTGGAGTTCCCAAGTCTGTAGCCTTGATTTATTTTTCCCAGAGATCCTAGTACTCTGGGAGGCCAAGGCAGGTGGACTACTTGAGCTCAGGAGTTTGAGACCAGACTGAGCAAGAGTGAAACCCCATCTCTACTAAAAATAGAAAAATTAGGCAGGTGTGGTGATGGGGCCTGTAATTCTAGCTACTTGGGAGGCCAAGGCAAGAGGATCTCTTGAGCCCAAGAATTTGAGGTTGCGTGAACTATGATGCCATGGCACTCCACCAAAGGTGACAAAGTGAGACTGTCTGAAAAAAGAAAGAAAAACAAAACAAAACAAGGTGAAAAAAAAATTCATGTTGAATGCATACATACATGCATACCGACATAAAATTTCCAGAGATGGAATCTCCTACAGATGTGGGAAAGGATTTGTTGGCTAACCTTGAGTGGTCTCGAGGTCAAATAATACTTTATATAGATTTTAAACCATCCCCCATGCTCTGCCCCCATCTCACCCTCACCTTCTGTAGTTGTTGCTCATTACTAGGCCATCCCAGTCTCTGTGTGATAAGAAAGTATCAATATGTTTCTTAACAGTACCTTACTCCCGGCTTCTCCACCCTCCCCCATAAAGGTAGCACTCCATTATATAACAGCAGCAGTTACTACCTGGAAGCAAAGAATCACTATTTCTTTTACAATGCCAATTGTGTGCTTGTAAGAATTTCAGGAACTAGCCTTGAGTAGTTTACTACAGAACCAAGATTGTGGGACTCTATCCTGGAAGAAAATGCTCAGCAGTTAACCTTCAATTCTATTGCAGTGGAGCTGACACTGCCGGATGGCTCAAAATAACCACATGAACCAAACGTGTTTACCTGCCCTCAGCCAGCTCCCCCCACAGCTTCCCAACCCCTGGCCCCTTTAAAAACCCTTTGATCAGCCCTAGGAACTTTGGGGTATTAGTCCAGCATCTCCTCAAAAGGTTGCCAGCTTTTGAATAAACCTGCTTTTCTTCCACCACCTCTTGCTTTTCCAGATTGACTTTTAAGAAGCAAGTAGCAAAACCTGAGTTCAGTTATGAATAGATACATATCAAGAAAAATAAATAAATAAAAGACTTTTAAGTCCTTCAATAAAAAAATGTTTGGAGGAATACATTTTAATTCTTAAAATACATTCCATATGTCTTTAGTAGATGTTTGCACAATAACATTTATGAGTTTTACATTCTTCTCTTGATCTACAGCTGATACCCATATATAAATCTATAATTGTCCATACTTAGGCTTTAGGCAGTACATTTTAAATTTCATCCAGAGAGACACTGGCACCATGCTCTTACAGAAGTCTACTGTTTGGTGATAGAGTACTCTATGAAAACAATTTGATGCCATACACCAATTCTAGATTTGGAAATGGTACACATTCACTTTCTTTGATAGTATACAAAGTTAAGAAGGATTAGGTAATGTCTAGCTAAACAAAATATAATTACAAATGCAGTTAAGCTGGAAGAGGAGAGAATTTTCATTGCCAACCAAATGGATGGCTGGCTGTCTGCTATCTTCTATGAGTAAACGATTTGATTTGTGAAGGTTACATTTCTGTAATATTTCTTTCTGTATAAATGTGATAAATAATAAATATAAAAAAACTAAAACTCATACTTTAAACATTTTTTACTTCTTAAAGGTATAGTTATTTAGAATCTACAAGTAAACAACAAGACAAATATACTTATTAAAGGTTTTATTTATTTATTTGAGACAGAGTTTCACTATGTTGCCCTCAGTAGAGTGCCATGGTGTAAAAGCTCACAGCAACCTCCAACTCTTGGGTTTAAGTGATTCTCTTGCCTCAGCCTCCCAACTAGCTGGGACTATAGGCGCCCATCATGATGCCCAGATTTTTTTGTTGTTGTTGCAGTTGTCATTATTGTTTAGAAGGCTGGGGTTGGGTTCAAATCTACCAGCCTCGATATATGTGACTGGTGCCCTACCCACTGAACTACAGGTGCTGCTGAAAGTTTTGTTTTTTAATCTCTATCTTTGTGCCACTATTTTTCTTTTCTTTTCTTTTCTTTTTTTAGAGATGGAGTCTTACTCTGTCGCCCTCAGAGTGCCATGGCATTACAGCTCACAGCAACTTCCAACTCCTGGGCTTAGGCAATTCTCTTGCCTCAGCCTCCCGAGTAACTGGGACTACAGGTGCCCGCCACAACACCCCAGCTATTTTTTGTTGCAGTTTGGTCCGGGCTGTGTTTGAATCAGCCACCCTTGGTATATGGAGCCGGCGCCTTACCCACTGAGCCACAGGCGCTGCCCTGTGCCACTATTTTTCATTCTTTTATCTACATGTTTAAGGAAAAAAATATCTTCCATTTTGAAAAGTTAAGAACAATTTACTATTCTTTATGTAGGCTTTAGATATACCTTATTGGTATGTCTATGATACAATAATTTTCTAATTTAATAAATGGAATCACTAATTGGTCAAGAATATTAATAAATCTATTCCCTCAATTTGGTTATCTAAACATTATACATTACACCAAATTTTACAGTAAAAAGATTGCATGCTGACTAGTCATATTATTACTTTTGAACTTAATACAGCCTGAATGTTTTCTAATAAAAATATCTCTTTGAAGGGCAGTGCCTGTGGCTCAGTGGGTAGGGTGCCAGCCCCATATACAGAGGGTAGCAGGTTCAAACCTGGCCCCAGCCAAACTGCAACAAAAAAATAGCTGGGCATTGTGGTGGGCGCCTATAGTCCCAGCTACTTGGGAGGCTGAGGCAAGAGAATCACCTACGCCCAAGAGTTGGAGGTTGCTGTAACGCCATGGCACTCTACTAGGGGCGATAAAGTGAGACTCTGTCTTTAAAAAGGAAAAAAAGAAAGAAAGGCAATTGAAAACCATGGAACTTCTTTATGACTTTATTCTCTAATTCCAGTTTTAAATCTTTATAGTGAAATAATAAATTATCTCATAGTTTCTTCAGTAAGGACGAAAATCAATGTCTATCGGCTTTCTTTCTCTTTCTCTTGCTAGGAGGTTCCCCCCACCCCCCAACACACACACTTTCTGTTTTCACAAGCCATTGAAGACCCAGCAAACCAAAAGGCAATGTAAATTTTCCCTATAATGCTAGATGTAATAACTAAATCTGCCTGTCAGGATGTGTTCCTGAAAAGCTCCTGGACAAACAATGGAATATGAATAGAAGGCCTCAGGACTGAAAACACCTGGAAAAACACCTGTCTTCAACCTTACTGAAGAAAACAGACACAGCACTCACATTCACAAGACCTCGTCAATTCAGCAGCAATTATCTTTTTGAGCCCCCTTAAATTCAGCT